TGTGGATAAGACTTAATATCCTTGTAGTTGAGGGTGCCGGTTTTGCCTTGAAAGTAGATTTGACTTGCTTTCCTTTCTGGCACGCATCACAAATGCTTTCCTTCCTGAATACAGCTTTGGGAAGGCCTTCTACTAACCCTTCTTTGGATAGCTTGTTGAGAGTTTTGAAGTTGAGATGACTCAACCTCTTATGCCAAAGCCATAGAAGGTTAGTGTCACCTTTGCTGATTAGACATGCTTCCTTGACATTGCTCCATATCACTTCATAGATGTTTCTGATTCTCTTCCCAGTGAGAATGACTTCATTTGTGGAGATGTTCTTGAGAGATGCCATGTCCTTGCAGAATTCCAAGGAGTAACCTTTATCACAAAACTGACTCATGCTAAGAAGGTTGTAATTGAGTCCTTCAACATAAGATACAGCTTGGATGGTTAGTCCCTTGTACACAAGATTTCCTAGTCCTTTAGTAAGGCCAAAATCGTTGCTTCCTCCAAAAGTAACTCTTGGACCATCATAGGGAATTAGATTGCTCAAAAGGCTCGCATCACCCGTCATGTGTCTTGAGCAGCCACTGTCTAAGTACCAGACACCTAGGTACTTAGCGGCTTCCTACATTAGGAGGAGGAAGATTTTGGTACCCATTTCAGTCTGGGTCCGGAATGGTTAATGGTGTTTGTCCCTACATCACGTTTAAAGTGGCAGGGAATTTTCCTTGCAGCTCTAAACTTGTTGGGATTGTTGTAACACCCTAATCCGTCCAAGTCTGCAGCCCCATTCGGACTAAAGTATTTAACTTGGTAATCATAAAAATTTAAAATTTTCAAACACACTTTATTAATCCCAATAATATTTTTCATAACATATACAATACGAAGTATTCAACAATATTGCGGAAGCAATTTTAATATAGACATATCATAAATTGTTTCAAAACTTGTCACATACATCCCGACAATCTCGCCCCATCTGCCGCCAGGATCACATTATGCTTTCTGCTTACCTGCGTGTAGCAAATAAAACACACTACACGCTCAGCGGTAAAGCTGAGTAAGCATATCTAATGTGTCGAACATCCATATAAACTGAATCTAAATTCATAATCAATCATTTCATATCATGCACACAATGTTCATTTCAGACATTCACAGTTTTGGTATCGTTCAGTTCATATCAACACATTTTATTCAATTCAGATACTATTGCAATAGTGCTCTTAAATTATTCTTAATCTAAGGCCAGATCATAACAACGCTCTTAGCTATTCTTAGTCTAAGGCCAAATCATAATAATGCTCTTAGATATTCTTAGTCTAAGGCCAAATCATAAGTTTCATAATCACAATCTTAAAAGGCAATTATTAATCAGACACTTAAACTATCATTAGTTTAAGGCAATTGAGTTCAGACACTTAACTGTAGTCAGTTAAGGCAATCAGACACTGAAACTATCATTAGTTTAAGGCAAATGATTTCGGACACTTAACTGTAGTCAGTTAAGGCAACAACAATATAGCGATTGGTCAACAATGGATCGGGCATTCCCAATGAGTAATCCTCTAGTTTTGTCTACGAACCCCATTTATGAATTTATATCTAATTCATCAACTATTCATGTTTTCATAAGTTCATTCTAAGATCTATTCTAGAGGTTTTCTAGATAGTCTTAACATTAATTAGCTAATAGGTATATCTTAAAGTTCTTCTAGATATCCTTAACAACATTATTCATCAATTCATACTCTTAGTTCAACAATCATTTCATCCAGAATATTCATCATCATTAATCCATAATATTCATAAAAATGAACAATCAATCAATCATCATAATAACTAATAACAATCAGCGGCCTAGCATCGAGTGTTAACACCCTAGCTTACCGTCATGCATCACATAAGATCCCTTTTANAATATAGGATTCCATAACTCAAAAATCATATTTTCTAAATAACAATTGATTAATATATGATAGGAAATTAAATTATTAGCTATTAGCTTCATTTTCTTCAATAGTGTAGGGTGACAGTCTACTGTCACTTCTGATAATCTACTGTCTGATGTTCAGAATGGGCTGATAATCGATTATCACACTCTGATAATCGATTATCAAACTTCAGAGAGGGCTGACAGTCGATTATCACATTCTGATAATCGACTGTTGCTCAGCTTTGTTACAAAAATCTGCAGAACGATGAATAATCGATTTTCAAGTTGATAATCAATTATCCATCGTCTTCTACCTCGAGCCAACTTGCAGAAATGTCACTCTTACTCACCAAACTTCAATTAAAGTATATAAAAGTGTTCTCCAAGGTTCATAGATCATTTTGGCATCATTAATTGATAGTTTTAACATCAAAATCGTGGTTTACGATTCTTAGTTCTTCAAACATGTCAAACACAAAACTCAACCAAATGAACGTTTATGAACGTAAAATCGATCTATATGAACATTCTAGTCACTAGATATATCTACGGGCTTACTTCGAAGCTTAACGGAGGTTTTGGAAATTTTCCGGCGACGATTAGTCCCAACTCCGGCGACCTCTCACCAAATTGACGGCACCACTGCGTTCTCCTTACTTAGAGAAACAGAATAGGAAGAAGTTTTGTGAGAAATGGTGAAGAATTGAGTGAGTTGGGTTTTCTTATATAGAGTGGTGAGGAAGAAGAAGACGCAAGATGATGATGATTGATCGGCTAGTGCGTTCGGAGGCGCCGACTGAACAGTTCTCTAATTGGGACCAATTTTGGTTCCAGTCGGGGTACACTTTTTGGTCCAACTTTCTCTGAATTGAAATCCGTTCGCACCGTTGCGATCAGACAGTCGAATTCTATTCAACGATATACTTTTCATAATTATTTGTAATACTTTTTCCGACATCATATTTTTTGGTGGTTGACTTTGATAGAGTAAAAATTGATTCAGTTGACCTTTATTTAAAAAAAAGTTCTCATATTTAATTCATATTAATTATTCTCATCATTTATTTCAATAAATCATTTTAATGTTCACATCATAATTAATTTCTTTATTTATTCTTGATTTGGGTCTGTACTTAGGTTCCCAATCAAGACCACACAAATAGTCAATAAATTGGATTTGTCTCTATGAGATTTATCCTAATTATGATATGGGATATCAAAACATATTTTTATCGGCCCAAAGCCCATAACAATTTATTTTAACTAAAACAAATTTGATTTATTTTTATAATTATCTATTAATAATTCTAAGGTATGTTTTGGGGCGTTACAATTGTAATCATAGTTGTAGGCATAAAACTTCCTACGTGCAGGAGGTGCAATTTCCTGTTTCCTCCTAGCAAACCTAGGTTGATAAGACCTATTGTTTTGTCTAGGTTGTGCATAGTGTGACTTGTGTTGGTTATAAGCATACTTAGGTGGCACAAATAGTTTCTGGGGTGGAGGATGACTATATCTTGGCATAGTTCTCCACTCAGAATTTCTCGGAAAACTCCTGTCTATCCCATAATGAGTATAGCCTCGTGTATATTGGGGGTTAGAAGGTTTTCTTCTGAAATTGTTTCCTTTTTGAGGTCTTTCCAGCTTCCTATAGTTCTTGGGAGGGACTACCTTTTTGGGAACTTCTGTTGGTTTCTCCTTTTCCTTCCCTTTCTGCTTATTAGGTTTGACAGTAGGTTTAGGAGGGATGAAAGTTGTCTTCCCTTTCCTTTTGGAACTAGAGGGGTCAAACCCAAGTCCTTTGCGACCCTTATGTTTGGTCGTTTCAAGCAGCTTGTTCACTGCTTCTTTGGACTTGAGTATCTCTAGCTCTTTGTTAAGGGATTTCACCTTTTCAGAGAGAGATTCATTTTCAGTCTTGAGTTGAGTGATCTCATTCAGTTGACTTTTCCGACTTTCAGTCAACTTGAGATTCTCTTCACTCAATAGTTTGTTCTCTTCTGTTAAGGATGAGTGTTTAAGATTTATCTCCTCAAAGTCTTTCATCATCTTTTTGAACTGGTCAAAAAGATTTTCAGAGGTTGGTATGCTATAAGAAGATGAGCAGGAGGTTTGTGAGGTTACCTCTTGATCAACATCATCTTTGGCCATTAGGCAGAGAGTGTCATCTTCTGACATAGTCCACCTATCCTCATGGTTGGACTTCTCAACTCTGCGCTCCATGAAGATGAGTGCTTCTTCATCCGAGCTTGAGCTGGATGACTCGTCACTTTCAGCAGCAACCATTGCTTTCTTTTTCTTCTCGATCCTTTCTCTTTCTCCGTACTTCTCCACCTTTGGGTACGGGCATGCTGACTTCCAGTGGCCAGGCTTCCTGCAGTTATAGCATAAATAAGATTCAGGAGGGGAGTCACTTACCTGTGGCTTTCCCTTGGATGGCCTTCTGATTGAATCAGCCTTCTTGAAGAACTTCCGGAATTGTTTGACCATCATGGCAAAGTCCTCATCATAGTTTTCCATTTTTGAGCTTGACGGCTGGCTGGAGAAAGGTGTGTCACAGTTTCTTGTGCATGTCCCTTCACTTGATGGGATTCTTGAAGTTGTCATCAATGCCGTGGGGAAGGGAGTTACTTGTTCTTCCTTCTTCTTCTTCAGCTCGTGCTCATAGGTTCTGAGTTCATCAAGGAGACCTTGAACAGTGTAGTTCTCCAGGTTTCTTCCTTCTTTCATGGATGTGGCTTTGGTGTACCAATCAGTTGGGAGTGATCTGAGCAACCTTACATTCTTTTCTTTGGGAGAAAGAATGTGGTTAAGTGAAGCAAGATCATTCAATATTTTGTGGAATCTTTCATCCAACATATCAAATGATTCTCCGGGAAGCATTTTGAAGCTTTTGAACTTCTCAAGCAGGACTTCTATCTTCTGCTTTCTCAAGTCCTCTGATCCCTCACATAGCTTCCCATGACCTTGCCAAATCTCCATGGCAGTCTTGAGATGCTTAATCTTGGAGAAGGTGCTGGGATCAAGTGTCTTGAAGATGGCTGCTTTGGTGACGTTTTCCAGATTGTGCTTTTTGCAATCTCTATCATCCCATTTTTCTTTGGGATTTGGAATGTACTGGACTACATCTGGAGCAGCTAGATTCCTCTCAGGGTTCTCCATTTGGATTTTCAAGGGTCCATCCTCAAGCACCATCCACATGCAATCATGTAGAGCATAGAGATTTGCTTCCGTCATGATCTTCCAATCATCATAACCTATAAGAGAAAACTTGGGCAAACCGTGATCCATATTGTTCACCATTCTGATCGCTTCTCGTTAATCTAAAAGTAGATAGTGAGAAGTAAGCTCCGATACCAATTGGTGGTCCCGAAATGGTGAGATACAAAGTCTAGAGGGGGTGAATAGACTTTGTTACAAATTTAAAAACTTTTTCGTTTCTTTTGAAAATGTGAAAATGAGTGTTAATCTAGAGTTCTTGTGAACTTTAGATTATGTGCGGAAGTTGGTGGGTAGAGTGAGCAGTAATCAATATGGATGGGTTAGTTTTCTTAGTTAATATAATTGCAAGTAAGAATAAAGATAAAAGAGAGATACTCGCAAACTTTAACGAGGTGGTGGCGGAGGTGGTTGAAACATAGGGGCATGAGTCATTTGTTGCAAGAAGTTTACCATTAAGGTAGGTAACATAGCATCAGGTTGAGCTTCAACATGTTGATTATTTTGGGGATTATTTTGTGGGTTCACTGGTTCATTTTGAATAGGAGGTGTGAAACTCGATGCTTCAGTATGAACACTTTCGTGCCCATCGCTTGGCACTTGGTTACTTTGATCGTGAGCGGTTTCTTGACTCATCTTACAATAATAGAAATTCCTTCGTTAGGATTCTTTGACTTGAATAGATGAGTTGACAACGAATATTTATTCTATAAAACTACATCGATGTTTAAGTCACTAATTGTGTCATAACAATGTGTCACCTCATTCAACAAGATTGAGCTATCCGTAGCTTCTAACAAGTAGGTTCCTTTGAATTTGACCAAACAAATCGTCAATTCATAGTAAAGGGTAGTGATTCTTGATCGTCAGTTTGTCTGTCTTAACAGAGATATGATAGTATCTTTAACCGTAAGTCAATCTTAGAGAACACAATGGATTCTCTAAGCTGATCAAATAAGCCATCGATACGAGATAAGGATTGGTGGTCCCGACATGGTGAGATACAAAGTCTAGAGGGGGGGGGGGTGAATAGACTTTGTTACAAATTTAAAACTTTTTCGTTTCTTTTGAAAACGTGAAAATGAGTGTTAATCTAGAGTTCTTGTGAACTTTAGATTATGTGCGGAAGTTGGTGGGTAGAGTGAGCAGTAATCAATATGGATGGGTTAATTTTCTCAGTTAATATAATTGCAAGTAAGAATAAAGATAAAAGAGAGAGACACGCAAACTTTAACGAGGTTCGAAGGTGGGGTAATCCTTCTACGTCCTCAAAATCCACTATGTAGTTGGTTGTTGAATAATGAACCAACAATTACACTTGTGTGAATTTCTACACGATATATCTTCGCAAGGCCAATGTTGCTACTGCACTCGTGCTGGCTTTGTTGTTCCTTCGAAGGTCACGCTTCTTCAACAACTGCAAGGTCCGAACAATAGGACTTGCAAGACCAACTTGTAAGAAAGTTGACCTACCCCCTTTCAATCAGTAAGTTTGATCAAAAGTTGTATCCTTCAACGTGGTGTGGTACTTGAGGCAAGGAAACCTTCAAGT